ATTTTTCACTCCACTCCCCCATGCCCCCCCCCCCCAAAATGATGTCAATCAAATTTCATACAAGCCACAGTAAAAACGTGATGACTGTTTGTTCCCATGATTAACAATAGGCTATAAAGCCGTTAACTAGAATTGTTAAGTTGCTGTATCTTAAAACACATTTATGGGGCATTTTATTATGTATTTTAGCTAGGTAGCCGTCTCATGATGACTTATGATTTCCGAGGTTACACGTCACAAAACAGACTTTGCAGTTTTACAAGCAACTACTGTGGGCAGCGTAGCGAGTGACAGTTCTCATTTCCCAACCATGTGTGTATAAAGTGCATTCCCCATTAAATAGCTTTGGTGTTAATACTGGTGTTACTGGGTGAGGCGGGCAGCTGGTCTGATTCTGCAAGTTACATTGAGATCATCTCCAATCCAAAGATTTATACCCTTCTCAGCCTTTCTGTGAAGCTATGAAGAACCTCTTAACCTACAGCAGCAGAGGAGAGCTGGGAAAGGGTTACCCAGCCACGTCCCCTGCGGGTGACAATGTCTATTGAGATACAGCAGCTCCGTACTAAGTTTCGTTTCTTTCAAAAAACCTTTCCTCTTGGTACAAGGAAGTGCTTTCCGCAATAGCTGGCAGTCTATTTATAGACGGTGATACAGATATATTTGCTGAGACTTACATCATCCCAACCACTCACATCATTACATTTCATAATGGAAACACTGATAAATCAAGAACGCTAACTTTTTTTAAAATCTCGCTACCGTAAGTCTAGCCACAGCTATATTTAAAGTTTAAAGAATTCAAAAAATCAAGTAATGATCAAAAAATCAAGAATGATGCTATGGGTAAATATAACTTGTTTAACACCGCTGCTGTTTTCACTATGATTTACCTAAATGGGTACTTACAGAAGCTGAAGGTAAAACAACCAAACCAGCACATACAAAGTCTCAAAAAATATCAGCAAAAATAAAAACAAGCTCCCAAGTCCACTTAAAGTATAACCTATCCACTGAAGTAATTTTTATACCAAAATTAAGCTTATTGTCCATCTGAGATGTTCTAACTCCTATACTTTTTGGAAAGCATTTGCTATTTGTAGCAGACAAAAAATCACAACTGCAAACTGTGTATGCAAAGGTTTATTTTGAGACTACATCAAAACATCCTGCTGTACAGGATCCAATTTGCTAACGACTTTTAAATACCATTACTGTATCTGTGGAGAGAGGAAGATGTTTAACTTGATGAGCTACTGAGAACAAATTTTACCCAGTACCTGTGTAACAAAAACAATGGAAAATAACCAAGCAAAAGTTGTGAAATACTACATTCTGCTCCCTTCTGCAGGGATTAGTACAGTACAATTTATTTTTCTTGAAGCAGCTTTCAAAGAGCCTGCTGTCAAAGCCCTCCTTTCCCCACCCTTTGGTGCTCTCAGCAGCCAAATCTCCAGTAACCACAAATTAATTTGAACACGAGCACACAAAGCAGCTCAGGTCCAGTAACAGCATCGTTACAGAGAGCAAAGTTTACAAAACACAAGTCTCTTATATCCTCGGGAAAAAAATGTCCATTGAAATCAAGCCCACTGTCATTACCTGCTCTAGGAAGTGAGGTAAAAAACACTTCTGGAAAAATATGTTTTTAAGAGCCCTTAATTAAAGTTATGAACAGCAGCCGCCCATTTGCAAGGTATTTTATTTCCCTTCTGTGCCTAATCTGCCAGTAGCAGTGACTAAGGCATGAATTATGTGCATCTGGGCAGTACTATTTTTAGTGACACTATTTCCTGATGGACCCAATCAGAAAAATTACTTGGGAAATACAAAAATATCAGCTAATAAAAGCATATAACAATTGCCTCATAGGTATGCAGGTTTAAATCAAAAAATACCAAGATGGTATGTATTCCCCTTACAAACCATCTATTGCTTCTGGTGGCAAGACAACTAACACACACAGCAGCCCAAAGGCCATTATTTAATTTCTCCACAACCAGCATTTTCTCCTCAACCAGGTGGTCTCGTTCCAGCCCCCAAACCTGCAGCCACTTTGTCATCTCCCATCCTCTACGAGATGCAGCTGGCGTCTTTCAAGACTAATGAATCTCTCAGAAATCAGCCCATCCCAAGCAGTGGTTGCTGGAAAAATGTGTCACTTGAAGAGAACATAGCAAGGTGTGCAATTAGCTGATGTGGTGAGAGTAAAACCTTTTTAGCTTTGAAGGAAAAAATAATTCCTACTCATCATCTATGAGTATGTAGAAAAAGCCCTTTTCAATAGTGTGGGGATAGTAAGTAGTACTAAAAGACAGCCTTAGCTTACAGTAGGATCCAGGGCTCAAGGGACACACCACCAAGTCTTCCAGCCACAGCAGTCTGCAATTTGTCCTGTCTCCCTTTGTAGGGAGAAAAACTGGAAATACGGCTTCAGGTGAGGTTGAGCCCACCACAGGCTGCCCAGGGACAGCCTGCTTTAGGGAGATCAGATGGGGCACCAGAGTCTCAACAGGGCTTCTCTAGAACTTCAGTTGAGACTAAAACCTCCCCAAAGAACGCAAAGCACCATGTCTTGTTTCTAGTGACAAGGCCTCAGAGAGGTGAACAGACAAACCTGTAAAAGTGGGTTAATATACAGCCAGAAGAGGACTCACATTACAGGAACAAGTGCTACTGAAGGATCTGTGTAGGCTTGCACAGCCTACGAAGCCAGCTTCCACAGAGAAGGGACAAGCCAAGACCACGTGAAGCCCTGCCAGCGTATCACTGACGCACCACTTGCTGTTTTTGTGTTACTTTGCTTTTTTTGTTATCCATTACACAAGCAACATGTGAGTCCCCTCCCTGGCAAGGTCTGGCCGTCCTGGGTCACATCTCCTTTGCACAGGGAACAATCCCACCCACAACCATCTCCCATGGCATGTGAATCATGCGGAGGGGCCACCCGAACCCCAGTCTCGGAACAGGCACTTCTTGAGGTGTTGTGCACACCTTCTTCAAGCTGCAGGACAGGGGCATTGCTGCAAATTCTTAGAAGAGCCGCAGTTTTTACATAACTCCATCTCCTTTCCTCGCCCACCTGCTCTGACTCAGCACAGCGCCTTGTCCTCAGCTGTAGCCTCCTCATTTCTGCCTCAGCAGGAGGTTATCAAATCTCCCCGGGCACCACAAGCAGAACGTAGCAAGAAACAATTAAAAAAGGGATTTTCTCCCATCTCTGATCAGTTATTCCGCAGTAGTTCTATTTCACATTGCTACTGAGGCGACAGATATCACAGAAAATTACATCAGGTCTTTTCTGCCCTCTGACTCATATTCTTAAATAACTTTGGTTGACTCATCTCTCCTGACTTGTCTTGGCTGAAATCTAAGCTTTTCCTCCTTTAACAAATAAAAGTGGCCTTCCCCCTTCCTTCAGCTTTTCCAAGTGAAGATTCTGAACACTTCACTATGCCAGCTAATTGAAGGAAACGGAAACAAAAGCGAAGGGATTCTACCTGGCAAGTCAGCCCTCCTACCTCGGTGACATGATTACAATGTGCAGGATCCATCCTGAGCATACACCTACCCTGTATCAGCTACATACAAAATGGACTCATTACATCCAGCCACTAAAACCATGGACAACAGATTTACTATGAATAATTAAAAGTTATTTTCTTGCAAATTTACATTCTATGTTAACTTATGTTCACTTTGTTGCCACATAAAAGTCACCATTAGTACGGAAAAGCATTAACATAACTCCACTGTGATTAAAGGACACCACAACCGGAAGACAACACCGAGAGAGATATGCTATTTTATTTAAAATCAGACCACAGTAGATTACAGAAAGACTTATTATGCAAACAAATCCACTGTACGTTTCACAACTTGCTAGGCATATAAAACTGCCCCTTTATTAGACTGTCCAGGATTACACAGAGGAAGGTTCGGGTGCAGGACAACTCTACCTCCTCAGAACTCAGTGTTTGCCAAGCAGCTCTATATTCAGGCTAAAGGAATTGTCGATTTGAGCTCTGTATCTAAGTCATTATTCCAGTTTGAGAGGGCAGAGAAGTCCCAAAAGAGGTCGAGACTGAGGTTGTGGAAGTCGGGGCACTAAACGTAATGCTTACCCATGACCAGGCTGTGCCCAGGGCTCTGCCTCCTGGCATCACATCAAAACTCATATTCTATATAGTCCCTCACGGGTCACGGGTACAAGGGTGACCTGTGTGGACCAGCTGTGCTAGAACAACTGACTCCGCTTCCTCTAGGAGACAGCACTGAAGTGCAGCAAAACTCATCCTTGAGTTAGAACCATTCAGTGCTGACCATCAAACAACCTAACCACATACAACTCAATTAGTCATAACTTATAAAACCGCATACAAAAGGCTGGCAAAAGTCATGCCATCCAGAGAGAGCATTTTCAACGCTACCAACACTCTAAAGCCATGTTACACATTGTATTTAAAAGATTTTTTTCTCCACTCCAATTGCTTTGGGGAAGTATATGCTATTTGCAGCAGACATTAAAAATCCTCAAGACAACATAATAATATATATATATATATTTTGGCAAGCATACTGAGCCACCCCCTCTCAAGTCTCAGCTTGCCTATGGCATTTTAATCTCACTATCTTATAAACAGTGCAAATTAGTATGATTCTAAACATCCTAGCCATAGCAGAATTTATTTATTAGCTATAACACAACAGGAGAAGCTGTTGAAGGGCAACAGGCTTTGAAAGCACTGACACACCCCTTGCCCAACTCGTTCAGGTTAGTGTTTTGTAAAGTTTGTTTCTGAAAGGATTTAAACAGCTTTCCACGGTCATCTTTCTCCTTTACCCTTAAACATTACCAGCAGTCAAGTATATATTTACAGTTTGTGCGCACATACACACACACAATTAATGGCAAAACGTTTTCCATGAGCAGCTGGATTTCAGTTACGAGTTTGCTGTAACTGAAGCATCACATTAGTTACATTATCGATACTCAAACCTATCCATCAGTGAAGGCAACTATAAGCTTACAAATAGCAGATACGGCCTTTGTTTTTTTCTGAAGTACAAGGGTGAGTTTTTTTGTAAAAGAAAGTGCTCTTGAAGAGCCCTTAGAGTTAAGCAATGGCCATTCAAATGATAAAAACGCTAATATCCTAGTTTTACAATCACAAGTAGTGATCCTAAGGCACATCAGCCACATGCATATGCAATAATGCATTGTTTTGCTTTCAGACAGAAAAATTGCATTAGCTTTGTCTGTATTTAGTTTGCACAAGAGTCAGTTTCTAGATAAAGTATCCCTGAAAGGTCATGTTATCACAAAAGTTACCAAAAGACAGAAAATTTAACAAGTAGTAAAAATATTTTTGGACTACTAATACCAATAAAGTTAGATACATAAAACGCAGTGCAAATTCACAATACACTTATCTATCACCTCCATCACTTCTGAGGATTTTCAGCCCTCGGAAAAAAAGTTGGCACTTGATAAGTGTAAAATATACCTGGTTGTTTTCATTAACTGTTAGCAAAACTAATTTGAGAGTGTTTTAGAGTTTTTGTGTAGCAGGCTCAAAGTACGCATTTCTGTACTCAGTCACCACCCTGGTAGCCCCCACCCACTTTAATTCTTTCTAGGACACAATTCATTTCTACAGCAGACTTATGTTTAGCATTCAGATACAACAGTCCAAGTACCAGCACTAATAGCACAGCAAAATTACTTTGAAACGAGTCATAATTAACCATGCTTATACGAAGCTTCAGTGAGAAAATAATACCAAGAAAAGATATTACACTATTTAAAAAAAAAAAAACAAAACACATCCTGTACCATCACTAGATTACAGAAAAAAACACACTTTGCAAACAAATCCAATGCACATTGCTTCACAAAATCCCCCATCTATAGAAACTTTCCAGACTTACACTGGGGAATTGGTTCAGCTGCCAATAACACTGACCAACCTTCTGCCCTTTGTCTTCAGAAGGCAGAACAAGCCAAATAACCGTATTTTCAGAATAGAGAGCTTCCTGTTATGAGCTTAATTTCAGATTAGTATTTGCTAGCAACCGCCACACTCCCGAGGAAATGATTAAGGGACAGCCTTACGTAAAGAAAAAAAAAAATAGATATTCTATTTTAAGTGATGCTGTTTGTAGTACAGACTTTCCAAACAACATCGTGCATTCCAGGACAATGATATGAAAATGCTTTGAAATAACGCAGGGGCTGTAACAGATTCTGGACTGTGAGCTTCTTAAATGACCATGAATTAGTTGAAAGTTGTTTGTGGATGTGAGAAATTGGTAACGAATTTACAGAGACATTCTGCGCAAGCAACAAGTGTTAAAATCTGTCTCCTCCAATGCTAGATTAAAATAACCAGCAAGTGTCTGCACCTTAGGCTTCAAGAGTCACATTGAGAGCAAAATCTGAGCTCCCCTAAAAAGCCTCCCCCTCTCCAGTGGCATAAGAAGTCAAGAATGGATTATGTCAGATGCAAAAAGCCACCATGGATTTCAAAAAGCTTTCCTGTTTTGCCTGCTTGCGGAGAAACGGTACCTGCAAATTCCAGATAGATACACATGCCAAAAACTGCAAAACTAAAGGAAATGAGGAAGTTAAAAATAGTTCTGCCAAGTGAGAGACTGAGTTTGAAGGATAAAACGAAACCGTGGAGCTTCAAGTGGGCATTTACATAATGTGAAAACGCAGTATTTGATTAAGAAATACCCTGCCTAGATTTCTGGAATCACATGATATCAAAAGCTAAGCACCTGTGTAAAAAAATCACTTCTGTATCCAAGGTGTGGAAAAATAAAATAAAAATAAACATAAGAAAGAGTCTTAATAGGCAAGGAAATAAAAATGCCTGGTAAAGTTTCTATAAAACTCTAAACTGGCTCTACAAACAGTTTAGTTTAATTTCAAGAGACCAGGACTTTTAGGATATCAAGCTATTTAGGAGTGGGAGGAGTGTGTACTTTTATTCTGAAAAGTCTAAGGTAACAACTGAAATGTAGAAATGGAACTCTTGTAACTTTTACTGGCTAAAAACCATGCAATATTTTCTGACAAGAGTTTCAGCTCAGTGAGCTCTGAAAAACCTCGTGCACCTGGCCACAAATGCCGCTGTCTGGGCACACTGCAACGGATGCCGATGCGGTCCACTGCAACTCTTTGCCCAGTATTCAGATCTGGTTGTTACTACCCAAACACTGGCACCGACAGAGAATTCTTTAGAGGGACAAATAGCTCCCAGTTTGCCACACACACATCCAGCTGCGATGGGAACACATCAGAACAGAAGAGGATGCTGATTTACCGTCACTAAAGAATTCCAAACATGATTTGATTTGTAATGTCAAGAAATCCACTGTACGTTGTTTCACAATTTGATGGATTTACATAATTTAGACCCTATAACCTTCCTAGAAAAACCTTGCTGTCACTGATATTTGAAAACGAAAATAATCACATTTACCAAACACAATCGCAAACCTCGGTGCCACAGCTCAGATGTTGTACTCCATTGTGCAAAAACCAGAGGCTTTCCATTGCCTACATGAAGTCTCTGATGGGGATAAAAGGGAAATATAAGCACCAATACATAACTCAGGCGCACCAAAATATTCACTGGAGGATAAAGCCAGGATGTGGCGGAAGGCGAGGTGGTCTTTGGGGGAGAGCTGGAGGATACTGCGGTACAAACTGAGCTGGGTATCCCGGCTGTGGCATTGGACTTCCAGACTGAACTCCCGGTCGCGGGGGGAGAGGAGGATACGGAGCACCTGGATAAGAAAGAGCTGGTCCTGAACTCATGGCTGCAGTAAACGGAGTAGGAAAGCGTCCTGCTGGGACTGAAGAAGGTGGAGGGGGTGGTATTCGTCGGGGCACAACTGAAGGAGGAGTGTTTGCATCCGAAGTGTAGGAATCTTGAGGTGCTGGTGTTGTCTCGGGTGCTCTCGGCTGAGCCTGTGGCTGAACCTGTGGAAGTCTCTGTCCCTTTAGCACCATTTCTTGGAGCTTCTCGATTTTCACACGTCGCTGGTGAGCCAGTTTACGCTTGCTCTGGTACTCATCGATGAAGGAATCCAGTGGTATTTCACCATCAAGAAATTTCTCTGCCATATTCTGTCAAGTATGGAACAATCTCTTAGAAAAACCACATACTGCAAGAGAATCTAAATGACTCGTATCCTAAAAATAGTATAATTGTGCCTGTGATTTTCCAGCTTGCATATGGAAGATGACTGGCACGCTAAGAATTGTGAGCAGAATTCTGAGTTGGTTATTACTCAGAAGCACTGGGAGTTAAATATCATCTCTGCTTACATTTATACTGAAGCAACAGCAGTAAGATCATCTGAATCTAGCTCTGAACGTTCCCCTGATCATCAGGGATGGGAATGAATCAAGTCCACCAGCTTTCCAGATTGCCAGCTAACTGAACTACAGCTCAGTGCTGCTTGTAATGCCAGAGACACCGAGAACTCTGCAACCCTCAGTGCAGAGAGGCAGATTACTGCTAAGCCAGGTTTAATGCTCACACTTACTTGAGGCTTCGGGTAAATCGTGTTTAATAATTAAGAGAGGTGACCACATATAAAATCACAAAATTGTCCTGGGAATGTCTTTTTGCGATGACAACTCAAGGCCAATAAGCAGATTTTTTTTCCCCTGATACAGTTACAGGAAACGTCCTACAGGCAAATCAGCAAACAAAGTCAAACACTTCCATCATCCTGAAAACAGATCACCCTTCAAGCACTTGTATCACAGCAAGTGACACTGGCACCTAGTCAGATGTGTTGAAATCCTAATGGAATATTTCACCGGAAATGCCGGAGATAAAACAGTGCAGGCAAAGTTTTCCATTAGGTTACTAATTGACATTTGTAATGGATTGATGCATGTACCAGGCAAACCCCATTAAAAAGAAAATATCCCCCATTTATGTGCTGTGAGTTTGAAAATGCCAACAAAGTAAGAGAGTCTGGCTTTCTTTTCTGAAAAGGGGTGTTTTCTTTCTTAAACTTCAAAGAGGTTAAGAGTAAAAAACTATTCAGATAAAAAAATTCTCACTGAAGCCAAATGGCTGTTCATTGAAGTTCAAATCAAATTCTTATAAATATCCCTTTAGTCTATTGCACGTTCAACACTGCACTGCAGCTACACGCATGGAAAGTCTCCAATAATGGTTCTAAGTGGCAGAATTGAAATGTACTATCATTACCTCAGTGTCTTCCTCAATCTTAGCCCCCTCTGTCTGAAGCAGCGCCAGCAGAGTCTCCAGTGAGGCATTACTGGATTGTCTGTCTGTCATGGCACAAAAAAGAACAATAAGTGACTTCTAACTGAAGCTTTACAGCCTCAGCAAGCACGGACATTTCTAAGGCATGTACGTACAACTAGAATACTCCATTGGTCTAGACAGGAAAATCTACAGTAAGAAAATATATTAAGTAGTTTAGGAATATTGTCAGAGTGCTAGAAGTGAAATTTAATTACAGTGATATATTTAGAATATTTAAAGACAGAGCACTTCAGCAGGTGCAGTATCAGACGTACAATACTGCATAATTCAGTACGAAATGAGAAAGTTAAATGCAATATTCTGTTTGCTTTATGATTGATCACTGAAAATTCAAATTATGTTTTGCTTTTTAGCAAGGTAAACAAATTTGATCATTTAGAGAAGAGTACGTCAACAATAGGTAGGCAATCACACAGTAACAGAAAGAATCCACAGTATCTCTTACTAGGTGTAACAGATACTTAATAAATCATTAGAAGAAATCTATTTCAGAACTACACAAGAATGACATTTCATTTTGTACCCTAATTCCCACAGCTAAAAATGAGATACCAAAAATCAAACAAAAAATGTGCAACAGATTTACATTCACTTAGAAAACAGCAAATCATAATTGTCACCAGAAAATGTTACCTAGTTTTGTTTTCTTTATCTGGTACGCTTCGAAAAGAACTTGCAGCTCTTGATATTTTTCAGTCAAATTTGATTTCAAAGACTCCAACTTTGGCTGGTACAAAAGATTGCCTTCTGCCAGGCTGCGGTTACTGGCAAGAGTCATGTCCTTGCTGTGTTGAACATTTTGGGCCTGGGGGGGGAAAAAAAAAAGTGTGAAATGATACTGAAAATATTAAGCAAAAAGAACAGTTGTTTAGACAATACGAGAATTTCAAAACTTGTAAATAAACAAGAAAAGCAAGCTCTCTGTAAAAATGAGTACTATTTTATTTGACCTGCAACCAATAACAGTACATTTGGACTTTTTATGAACAGAGGGAATGTCTACTGTATGGGTCAGCTTCAGCTGTTGTGCTCTTTTACTGTCATCTCTTTTTTCTGCTACACAAAATCCTCTCTCACGATCTGTATTTTTACTGCTATACTGATACACTATTTTACTAGCATATAATATAGAAGGAATAAGAAGGTCTATGCTGCAAACAGCACATTGAGATCATCTAAAACAACAGTGGAGGGTTGAAACTCATTGGGGAAAGACCTTCAGAGGAATTGCCCCGAAAATAAGGATCTCTTCTTTCAGCTATGAGCACCTGTGACTCAATCGCTTTCTGAACAGGCATTAACACTGACCTGAAGTCACCAAGTCACTTTCCTGCACGTTTATTTTTTTTTTTCCCCACATTCAGCTGAGAGCTTATTAAATGGTTTTCTCCAAGCTGGAAATGGCAATAACTTGAAGAGTTTGTGCTGTGGGCATGGACTCCTAAGAAGCCCCCTCTCCTTTGAGCTGGGGCAGAGATGCCAGTGAATGCTCCTGCGGGCAGAATGGCTTTTGCCCAACCAGAACAGGAACAGGGCTCCTGCTGCACTGAACCTGCAAGAGGCAGGTTTCCCCTCGTCTGCAGAACAGTGGTTTTCTGGGCAGAAACCAGCCTCTGGGCACTCAGACATATCTGCAAAGAGGCAGAGGAATGCAGTTTATGCCACCCGAGTTTCTTCTAATTCTTGTCACAAATTTGTGAGGTCTAGCAGATTTCCTCTTGGTGGCAGAACAGTGGTTTCTGGGCAGAAACCAGCCTCTGGGCACTCACTTAGACATTTCTGCAAAGAGGCAGAGGAATGCAGTTTATGCCACCCGAGTTTCTTCTAATTCTTGTCACAAATTTGTGAGGTCTGACCTGCCAGCTGTCACAGCTTTGTGAGATTAGATTTTTACATTCATGCTCTGCTACCTGAAGGTGCTTTGTATGAACTTTTACTCATTATTTAATGTAGATGTTTCCTCATTCCCACCTCATGCACCACCCTTATCATTCCCCCATAATGAACACTGACAGATAAAGCAACAGTTGCTGTTAAAAAGATCTCTGAATCCCAGCAGTAACAAGCAACAAGACTGCAGAGTGTCATCCTTTATCTTATTAAAATGCAAAACCCTAGGACTGCATCATTACGGTGCCTTCTACAGAATAATCTTCCCCAACTATGTTAAATCAATCCTGGATTAATGCCAAAAGCTTGTTTTTCAGTTTAATCCTTCTGCTTAACATATCCTAGCCCGAAGACATTGTTCCTAAAGAACAAATGACAATTCTCAGAAAACCAAGATTCTAACTTTGCTCATACACACACACAGAGGTTATTTAATCAAGACAGTCTTCGTGAGTTTTTGGGAAAGCTGAATGTTTGGGGAAGTCTGCCCTGATTGTCACGTTAGATCCATTAAAATATCTGGACATCAAAAGGAGAAAAAAAAAAAAAGGCAAGAGATCCAATTTCAGATTTTCAGTCTGAATCAACAAGTGGGACAGTTTTCCCATGGCACAACAGAACTGATTCTGTTAAAGCTGCCTTCACAATCAATGAAATCTTTGGTACTTTTTGTGACCTCCCACATAATATGCCCCTTCTTGGCCACATCATCCCTGTTTAGCTGTAACAGCTCTTCTTTATGGGCAGTTGCACTGAATTCAGTGCAAACCCAAAGACTACATTGCTTTCTTCCTTTCACGCTGATGGGTGGCTATAGGAGAGCCACACCTCGGAAACAGGAAAAGAGGAAGCCCAAACGAGCTATTTAAAAGCCCCAGAAAAGGACAGGACTGTGATTCAGGTGTTCTTGGCAGTCTGAGCACATGCCTAGGTGCATCAGGTGAAAATACTTCCCAAGTGTCACAACGATGTCTTCAAAAGCAATTACTTCCTTTTGAAATATTTACGCACTGCTTTAATCTTCTGAATTCAAAACTGGCTCAATGTTACTTAAACACATCTTTGGCCCCAGATACTGCTCTCTTTTACTCTCTTTCACCCGGTTCTTGCTAAACCACTTAAAATAATCAAATCAGGGATAATGCTGAGTCCTATAGTTTACATCAATAAAACCAAAATTCTACTCTAAATTGTGAAAATTGGAGGAACTGTACTTGTGATACTGTTTTGTCTTCTCAAGTTCTTGCATCAAGCCTAAACAAGCTTCCAGCCCTACGCTCGTGTTCAACTTGAATCCTTTCCAAGAGTAAAAAGAAAATCCTCTCTTCTCACTTTTTAATCCAATACAAAATAATTTAAATTAAACTGGTTTCTTCCATTTGGCTCTTCTCATATGATCTAATGCTGTTAGACTGCTGCTTTCAGAAATATTAAGTCCCCCTATTTTACATTTTTTCTAACAATTATGAAGGGAACTAAAATACACATGATTTAACAGCTTAATTACCGGCATCCAGCTCCTTAGCAAATCACCTGCCATCCCCACACATTTTGTTAACTGTCTTCTGAGCTGCCAGCCAAAGAACATTTGCGTGCAGAAAGATTCATGGTTTCTGAAGCCTCTCCTCTTTCACCATTTTAATGAGCAAACTAACTTCCTTCAAGTGACTTCAATTTGATCTGGTGATGGTATTTTCATTGCTGCTACTCTCATTTCAAACCAGTTGCGCAGTCAGTCTGGGAAGACCAGTTCTATGAGTGAACTTTGATCTTTTTTTTTCAGGATGAAGAACGCGTACATTTCCTCTAGAGAGAAAAAAAGCCAGCGGACACAAACCTACCAACCTTTCAAGAACACAAATCCCAGGAGCAGAAAACTTTTACTGAAATAATATGTAATAAAGAAGAGAAGGAAGAACTTTCAGGTAAACAGAATAAAGCTTCCTGAAGTCAAATGAGGCTTTTGTGGTGTTTTCAAACAGTACTTTTAAATAACTCCTGCCTCAAGTATCATAATGCCTCTCAACAGGACTAGGGAGGGGAAGGAGGAAGCAAATGCCTAACTTTCTACTATGATTTTCTAAAAAAACCTTTATTTTTAAATAATTTCAAATGTGTAAAGATGAATAGATACCAGCATGACATGATCTACCTGACTTGTAAAAATAAAGTCAATATTATGACCTGTATCTAATGCAGAGTGGCATCCTTTGCTGTCCTTGGCACCTGCTATCTAGCAATTATGGAACTCGTCTAAACTTAAGCAAAAGTCTTAAAAATACTTGGTTTAAAACTGAAAAAAAGTTAAGGTATTCATAATCGCACTTTAAATTACAGTGCTTGAAATTAATGAAAACTTAATGACTCAACTTTTTCCATATTATAGCACTTCTAAGAAGGGCACATTTTTTCTACAGAAGTTGAACAAAAACCATGATTGACATTTAATGATCAATTCCAGTGTCTCTCTTGAAGCATTATTCTGTGTCACATTTCTTTAAAAAATGGACAGCTGAAGAGATGAGAAACTCAAACTAAATTTTACTCAAAACCCTGAGAAGAATCAGTTCCTCAAATACAAGGTTAACTTAGGAATGATGTTTAATGAAACTTCAGGAGGAGCTGGTGAAGACCCATCCACCCTTTCAGGACATTTAAATGCTTCATGGCAGTGAAAAAACTTTGAAGTCTATGGAATAAGTAAATTCTATTTCACAACAGTCAGAACAATAGATAATCCCAAAGCAATACAACTTGAATACAGTCATGATTTTACAAACCAGAATAATCTCTGGCACTGTTGTTAAGGTCCACATAGTTAACTTTTCTGCAACTGTCCTGCTGCATTTAGAAGTTAATTCAAGGAATCAGAAAAGTAAACACGGTGAAGTTACCTGAAAAGGCCCTGCAGAAACGCTTTCAAAAAACGTTGACTAATTTAAAACGAACAAAAAACAGTTGCAAAATCATCCAAGGGTCAAAGATACAATACAGCATGACCAGTCTATTAAGATTATCAACGCAGCACAAAGCAGGCTTTCAGCCCCCATTCACAGCTTTCCACAAGCCCAAGACAATAGCCAAGCAAGGAATAAATCCAACAGAAGTTATTTTGTTGTCAGATGTGTTGTGTGACAAAAACTTGTATTAGCAGGGAGCTGCTACTGCATCAGATGTTCACCTGTCCACTGGAAGTGCAACGTAAAAAAAAGTTATTAAGAGAAATAAGCAAACAGCGTGCGATTCTCCAGCAGAATTGCTAACAAGACTATTGAGATCATGAGCACTTCAGCAGGCAGGAAACATTAATCTGAGAGGAGAAATACCAGTCAGAATCACAAGACATAATGAAACAGGACAATATTAAAGTGAACATATGTTTTTTTGGTTTTTTTTTTTAACTGCTAAACTCTCACTGTGAATTCTGAAAGGGACAGATGGGGCAACAATACTGAGCTGGTTATAAAAGGATTCCAATAGGCAAAGGATTGCTCATTGCAATCCTTGCAAAGGATTGATCCCTGAGCAGACCAGTCAAACCAAATTGTACACTGCAAGAAAATAAAACCATGGACACACAGAGGTTATTAAAAACAAAAATCGTGATTTATGCAGCACTTCAAAACATAAGATGCTGAAAAAGTGAGTTTCCTTAACAGAAATAATTTGAATAATTTTACTCCAGGTTTTGTTTAATAAGCAATTCCAAGAATAGGCAGCAGCAACTGCTTTGGGAATTGAGATTCTACTACTTTCATCAACTGCAGCTTCATTTCATCCCACTTTTCAAAAGGGAAGAAAAATGCTGAATAACATTAAAACAGAAGCTAGTACTAGCTCAGCAACATTTCTGCTGTTTATCATTTACTCCAGAATAATGGTTTGCAGGAGGAGTTTTTTGTGCAAAACGTCTCTGAGAAGTGTCGCTCCTGCTCATCCACAAGCACATTCCCAGAAGAACAATTCCAGACCAGATGCCTCCCAAGATGCAGCCTGAGCGACTGAAACTTCAACTACCCACAAAGTCCATCAAGTGCTGCTATAATTATAAGCTTGCTTTGGCAAGCACCATGGCAAGTAGTCTCTGTACTTTCAAGAAAAAGTATCTTAAGTAGCTATAAATAAAAAGAAGTTTTAAGTGGTACCATTTTAATTGCTTTATACAGAGCATACATCCACCTTGGTTTCTCTTGTCTTGCTCTAGCCTTTATCGTTCCCACACTCTCTCTCTTTCACTTACATGTACTTGTAAATTAGAAATAAAATATGCCGCCAGACTACGGAAGTATAACGAAGCATATCTGGAGTGTCAGATTAACCCCTGAAACAGGAGCTGACAGGTGCAGAGTAGGAGAAAAGAGAATTCTTTTACAGAAGACTTAAGAGTGCTTTTCATCAAGTACTGGTAAACGGTAACACATCCTCTAACAACACCTGTTCAGTAATAAATATTAATACAGAGTCCAAAGTAATTAGATTTGCTAAATTTAGGTCCTCTGATTACGTAAGTACTAGCTTTAAAAATGACAAAATAAAGGTTAAAAGGCAAGTTGCAATGCCTAAACGTTTATTACAGAGGAAAGAGGCACCCAGAACTGCAATTTGCACTTATCAGACACAGGCAGGTTACTCATTTGATGCTCAGCTGGAAGAGAAAAATCTATAGTTGTCACCAAGTCTAATTTCTAACTTTGTAACTAAAATTTCATGTTTGGCAAACAAGAACATAACCGCTTACACAATGTGGTTTTAGGACAGGAGTGAGAATCCAAGAAATCTGGGCATGAATTCACATAGTTTTAGCTTGGACTTTCCGCACTGCCCGATCTTTTCAATTGGCTTTTGAGAAAAGGACTACGCTTGAAAACCCCTTCTGTACTTGCCAGTGCACTCTGAAATCCTGGAATGACAGGAAGGCAGTACACTTCTGACTTCTTGATTTCATATAATTAAGGTCTTGACAAGCAAATAATTTTTGGCAGTAGAACCTTAGTGGTCAATAACACAATGTCACACTGTTACTAAAGGGATGTTCCAGTAGATAAAAAGAAAACTCATTTTCACAGAAGAAAAATTCATTGAGCTACCACCAGTGTCAGGTCACAAGTTCTCTCATCTATGCTGTTTAGAGTTATCTCACCAACATGGACTTCTATAAACAATGTACTTTTATTTCATGAACATGAATACTGTAGATGTACTACAGATACTAACCTCAAAGGATTAGTAGAAAAAAAAAAATCCTCCTCAATTTTAAAAGACTTGGAGCACCAGACAATTGGCTTCCTTCCTCTTTCTATCAGACAAGATGTTCGTTGTTCAAGCACTAAAAGCCCAGAGGCTTCAAAAACAACCTACAGACAGAAAAAGCAGCTTAGCCCTTTTTCTCATTTTCACATACCTGAGGATACAGTGTGAAGGACACTGTATATACACATTACCCCAGAAAAAATAAATGTGTGCGTGAGCATACACAGATATAGATATATATATATATATATACGATTGTGTGCGTGAGCATACACATATATATATATATATATGCACCCCCACAATGACATATATAAATCCTGCTCAAATGCTGCACAGGAATACATTCCCTTTAAGGCTGGAGGTGCCTATTTTTAGCTATTAGCAAGAAAGCCAAGTGGTTTTCCAAACCCTCCTTCTTTGTGAACAAAACATTGGTTTTTGAGCTGGGTTTCCCTTGCAATAAAGAGAACAAAGGTTTTTTTCAATTATGGAATAATCAGCTTTAGCCAACTTTGCCACCGAAAACACAAATGACCTCAGAGAAGTGACTCAGGAATCATGATTTAATTGGCATGCCATAATGAAATGATGAATCTAAGGACTTTGGAATACTCCTACAACCTAGATATACGTGGACTGACAACCAAATACCTTCATAAGTAGCAGTGAAGTCACCACAGTTCCTCCTTAACGTTCAGGATTTCCCTCTCTCCCTCTTCCTGCCACATGCTTCACAGTGAAAAATGAGGACCCAGCAGCACAAACTCAAGCAGTAAACAATTCAGTGGAGGCAAAGTAGAATGAGGAAGAAGTATTTGAGCACGGCCACTTGCTTCCAAGGTGGGTAAATGCATTTCTAGTTGAACAGACCCAAGTAAAAGCCTCCACACACAATAAAAGAGGATTATACTAGACAGTAGCACAGCCATATTTCCACACAGCTTGGATACCTCCAACCCTAGCCACACTTTCCAAACACCACAAAATATTCCCTCAGGCCCCAAGAACTTTACTCTACAATTTAAAAGCCTTCTGTTGCCAAAGAAAGAGGAAAACCGGAGGGTCAAATTGAGAATATGGTCTAGTTCTGGAGAGACAGAGGATCTTTTCTACTCTGGTCATGAGGTTTTCAGTCACTTCTGACCTACAGTCTTAAGTATGTCTTGACAAATAAATAATTAAAAGAGCCCACTTAGCCAGGCTTTCTGCTGATGTACCTTGCCAGAGGTCATGTTGAAAACAGCAATACTGCACCCATTTATATCTTTACAAAGTTAAGCCTGTTATAACCCATTGACTTTCCTTAAATATTTAGTTTTGATACAGAAGGGTACTCCTGAGCCCTGGTAAACCACGGTGCCTGTAAGATCTCTGCACGTGTTACTTATCACAGCAGTATCTGTTTCCTCAGCAGTTTCAATTCTCAACATACAAGCTCACATGAAAAGCTATTACGCCTGTCCCACTCTCGCAAATCTATTTACACAAAGTTCAAAATACAAATTGTTGCATAATGAAGTAAATTCCCTAGAACACCTTACTGCCTCGGCCTCAACCTTCAGTGGGCCTCTTCATTTCCAATACTTTGACAATTTGGTTTGAGGTGATTCAGAACAATTTCCTCGGAAGTACCAAAAGGGCAGGAATATTAGTTAGAGGGAAAGCAATTAGAATTGATTTTACTTAGTAAACTAAGCTTCTTTCCCAAGAATATATTGCAATTATGTTTTTTTCCTGGGGCTTTTGTACTCTCTATATAAAAAAAATAAATAAATCAACAAAACAAATAAAGACAAGACCCAGAGAAACACAGCACATTCCTTTCTTTAAAAATTTTCATGTAAATGCTTTAATCTTATTTGTTGTTAGCTGACTACACAGTTAAGAGTCTTTTAAGAGCATCTGTGGTCAAATAAGCCTGGAATAGTTTTGTATCGGAACTGTAACACACAGGGTCCACTGGCACATAGAAAAACCAGTAAAAGGCAAACACAGCAGGAGGAAGAAAACAGGATTCTATTTTGTTTTAAGAAGGATAGATCCAAAAGCGTGGCTTAAGAGTCTGATACATCGACAAAGACATTTCAAATAGGCAAAAAAAAAAAAAGCAGCAGAAAGCCTGACAGCCTTGGCTGCGCCCAGCATCCCAACCGGGGCACACAGAAACCTCTTTCATATTGTTCTGAATTAAAGTTGCGCTGAGACCGAGACCACAAACGGGACCGACTTCACCCCGACAAAACCCTTCATCACGGCCAAGGCACGAAACAAGGGCTGCATTAACGGAAAAACTGACCCCTCCTCCGGTCCCTCAGTGTCTCCTAATTTAGTACAAACCCAGCGTTTTCCGCAGGGCCGGCCCCCAGCCCCCCTCCCCCTGGCACCCGGAGCGGTGCCCGGGCACAGACCCCCCCCCTCCTTACCGAGGGCCGGCAAACAAAAGGCCGGGAGGGAGCCGGAGAGGGAGCGGGACAAGCAGCGTTTCCCGCACCACCGGGGCTCCCTATTTACCGGCCACTTCA